GGCATAATAGCAGACATGTTGTGTTTGTGGTCATACCAAGGTGACAGGTCTATGGTCAAACAAATTTTGGCAAGGATTGTACATCACGTACTTGGGACATTGTTGCAGTTGAATCCATCACAAGTCCTCACAACTCCATCAAAAGTCCTCCATTCGCAAGTCAAGTAAAAAAAAACTATTCAAATGACTTGTGGAAAGACTTGTAAATTCTTTTGACTGGGTTTTTGATGGTGTTGTGATGAACTGGACTTATACTCAGAAAACAGACTCCATGATCTGAGAACTTGTACAAGTGTGGTACATGTATGTATCTTTGGCCTTGCTGGAGGGCTGACAAGTTTGGAGTTGGGACTGCTGAGCTTGGAATGGTTTCATTCTGGTAGGAAATGTCCATCCAAGGACATTTCTGTTGCCATTTCTCATGTCCTACATCTAAACTTCAGAATTGAGTGAGTGATTTCATTATCACAGAAAAAAATAAACTGGGTTTGTTTGTCAGGGAGGAGGCTTATTAACCCTAACTCCCTAGCATGATTTGCTAGGAACCATACCCATCCTGGCAAATTCCAACACCATAAGGGAAACTGCACACACGTATATCTGACTTTGTTTCTGGAGGTGTGCCAACCCAATGTAAAAGACTGTCAGTTGAGGGGATACTTACCCATCCTGACAGATGCCAACAAAACATGCTGTTGGGGTTTAATGGGTTCAGTTCTGTTAGGATTAGAGTAGTGAACTGTTTATGAACTGTAGACTTGATGCAGGCATGACATTTTTCAGACTTTTTTCTGAATCAGACATTTTGAATCTGAGACAAAGACATTAGTACATGTTGTATGTATATAGAAAGATCTTTCAGACATTTCATCAATTTTAAGACTTTTTGTGAATTCGCAATTGCATCCCTGTTGATGTTAAATTTGACTCTTTTTTTTTATTCCAAATTGCATGTGGATTGATAGATTTACCGTTTGAGGGGAACCAGTCACAAGCAGTATGTATACATGTACCTCAGTTGAAACTTTGGCTGGTAACCGAGATTAGTACATCTCCGAGTCAGCGCAAAAACATGTTAAGAAGTCCGTCGCTACATAAACTACACATGACCTTGCTGCAACTCCTGGTTTAATGTGGTGTAAAGTCCTTTCCATTGATTATATTGTAATTTGTGGGGTTATTTGGTAGGCATGCATGTTTACACTGTGACAATTAATCCAAAAATAGTGTGATGTTCACAGATTCTATAGACTATTCCAAGCACACTAATATCACTGTTCACAGAGGCCCACTTCAATGGCGAAAGCATTGTGCTAGGCATAGACCTTATGCCTAGCAGCCATCTTAGTATTTAAAGGGAATATACAACATTTGCAAACATCGAAAAATAAAACTACCAAGTTTTTACGAAATACCTTGCTAGGATGCTGGTAAATGACAGTCTCAAGCATCCTGTAAAATTATGGCACCTGGTGTGAAGTCATTTTCAAGAAAATTGTATTTTTGTATACATTTTCAACAGTGGTCGGCCGACCACCGTTGGAAAAACCTAACTAATTTAGCAACTACTGCTCCAAATTTACCATTTCTTCAGTCCAAATTTTGTTTGCTTATTGGTTACATGTTCATGAACGGGTGCAGGTCAGCTAAACTGGTTCCCTTACCTTACAATTTTCCGGCATCTATAAATGAATCCATTTTATCTTTAGTGGAGCCAGACTACTTGAACATTTTTGTTTTTCTTGGTTTTTCCAGCATTTTTTAACACAAAGCTTCAAACATGTCAGTGTAACAATATTTGATCTATTACATGTATACTAACCCCCCAAATAGTTCATTTCTGAAAATTACAGCAAAAGCCAATGATGTACACTGTACATTCCCTTTAAAGAGGGCAGTTGCCTTTGTATCAATTGCTGGGATATTTTTGAGTGAACCTTTTGTGCATTCATTGTTACTGAATTAAAAAGAAAAAAAAGATGCCAACTAAGATGGCCACTACGCATAAGGTCTATGGTACAAAGCAACTGTCCTGTGATTATCTGAACATTAGCTAGCGCAGTGCTTTCACCATTGAAGGGGGCCTCCGTGAGAGTGATTGTGTACTCGATTGGAGTTTAGGGTATTAACCCTAACCGCCCTGAATCCTTCAAAATCCACTTTGCCAAAGTGGAGGAATTTTGAGGATTGAGGTGACTGGCAAAAGCGACTAAAGCGTGTCACTGATTTTGTGAGATGCATTTGGTCAAGGTCTTGGGCCGGACCTTGTATTGCTTTTGCTCAGCCATGCATAAATATAGGCCTGCATTATGCTTGAAATCCTCCGTACTGCTCCAGGATGTCACTGGCCAAGCCTCAACATTATTGACAGTCGCTGCTGCAGGATTTTGCAGGGTTCGAGTATAGTGGTCACCCCTCCATGGACCATATATTTTGTATTTCAAGAATTTGCAGGATTGAGGCCATGAGGCCAATTAGAGGATTTTGCAGGATTGAGGCAACATCCGGGCAAAAAGTTAGGGTTAAAGGGAATGTACAACAGGGAATGTTAAAGGGAATACATGTACAACATTTGTTTTTGCTACACATTTCAGAAATAAATGGATTTGGAGGATTAGTATGTTATAGCAGTTATTGTAAACTGACTAGTTTCACGTTTTAGGCTTGTTTATACTGGAAAAACCAAGAAAACCAATCATGTTCTTGTAGTCTGGTTCCCCGACCCCACTTAAGATAAAACGGGGAAACGTAACGACCAGCGTTGGAAAAATACAGTTTTCTTGAAAATGTCAGCACACCAGGAGCCACAATTTTACAGGATGCTTTAGACTGTCAATCCCTAACAATTCAGTAAGGTATTTTGTGATAATTTGATCATTTCGTTTGTTGATGTTTGCAAATGTTGTATCTTCTCTTTAAATGACAATTGTACCATAGTATGACTGAGGTACCCTACAGGTAACTTGCTTGCTGCACTTGGCAACCACAATGTGGAAACTCCCCTTATCTTATCAGCTGAGCTCAGCTAATGCCTGAGCTAATTTACCCAATCATGATATCAGGTGTAATTCTGCTGAGATAAACCCAACCTCAGCCCACTGTGTGGCTTCTATTGATAGCAAAGTTCAAGGAAAATTGGTCTTTGTCTCTGGCGCAACCATCGTTAAATTTGATTCACTCTTCTGATTTCTGCCTTTTTTTTACATTGTACAAAAATACATGTACAGTCGAGTCTCGTTAATACAAACTCGTTCGGACCTAGCCAAATTGTTTGTTACATGTCAGAATTTTGTATTAAGAGGAACATCTGTCCCATTCATTGTGCACATAAATGCACAGTCGGTACTAAGACTTTATGTTTGTTATAATCAGAATTTTGTGTTAACAGGGTTTGTACTAACGAGATTCGACTGTACATATATATGCAGATGCTTCATACACTTTGTTCGTATACTTTGTACGTTTGAAATCAAAATTCAAGGAAAAGTGATTTTTGTTTCTCACATGCCAGTACATGTATAACCATCTTAAAATTGATTCATTATAATTTGTGCATGATAATGAAACATTTTGATTGGCGTGCACATATATATGTACAAAATGTATACATTGTGCATGTGTGCCCTTGTGGATCACACATGTGCAATGTAAACTTGAAGTCAATGGAATCGCTTGTATAGCAGTCAGTCTGCAGTCGAGTCTCGTTAATACAAACTCGTTCGGACCTAGCCAAATTGTTTGTTATATCAGAATTTTGTATTAAGAGGAACATCAATCCCATTCATTGTGCACATAAATGCACAGTTGGGACTAAGGCTTGTGTTTGTTATAACCAGAATTTTGTATTAACAGAGTTTGTACAAACGTAGTCGACTCTATATCGGTACAGGTACTTCTATTTTGAAGCAACGCCCATTTGCATGTATCATGTACAGGTACCGTAGGCCTGATCATGTTCTTAATATACCTTCCAACCACAAATTAAATGTATAATAGATTGATTAGCGCTGAAACTCTGAGTCATTCATCAGAAAGAATGCTTTTACGCGGTATGTACATGTATACAATGTTGACTGTGATGAGATGAGTCATGGAATGAGCAAGTATCAAAATTATAGGCCTAATTATATGCATACATTGTACACGTCTGCATGATGAATTACAGAACTTACGGTAGATGTGGGCATAGTGATCTGTACATAATGCACAATTTTACTGTAACAGTTACTAGTCCATTGGAACATGTACATGTATGAGCATGTACATGTACTGTACATGTACATGTACATGATACACGTAGTTGTACAGGTGACTCTAAAAGTTGTATGTACATGTACATGTACATGTATGTACAGTATGTACTCTGTGTACATGTACATTTGTACACATGATCTGATACACCGTGCCCTCTGGAGACGTGCACACAATAGAGAACAAAAGATTGTACATGTATACGTCTCCAAAGGGCATTTCTATAGATGAATACGTCTCCACAAGATTTTCGCGAAATAGATATACTCAAAAACTAGGAATTTCCAAGGTGGGTTGATCGGTCGCAAATGGAAGAGTTTTAGAAAAGGGGTATTAAGTCCGAATTGCAGCCAAGGAAATTAATTCTGGTTAAAATAAGAGCATTTTGAAACTTCACTTTCAAACTCGAAAACTTTACTACACGAGAACAAAAAAATGTCTGCACAAGAATACAAATTTCAGTATGTGTGTGCATGTACGTGTGAACACACAGAAACTGTATATTGTAACTCTTATTCGATATTATTTTAGGTCTGGAACAAACATGTTTTATGTATTTCTTCCCCATTGAAATCCTTCAGTCTCCTGATGACCGGTACAGCAAACTGAGTTTCTCCAGGTTCTTTTCAAACCTGCACAAACTCATAAAAGAGATTTGTTACATGCTGCAACTGCAAATTAATACGCTCATGAATTAATTATTTGAATTTTGTTTTTGGATTAATTTATTTTTTTGTCTTGCAATACAGGTGTGACAGACTAAGCCGTCAAGGTGTCTCTCACGGCCATTTTCATTCAGTCGGATCCTAGCGCTTCATCTCGCAGCATGGAGCCCGACATGCCCAACAGTAAACCTGTCAGAAATGCCACGACGCCCAGCAACCACACCCCTAACCGCAGTGGTCGACACAGGTAAACATTTTCTGTCATTACTGGGCATAGTCTTTGGGTCAAGATGTTGTTGTATATTGGAAATGCGATCAACAACCAAAAGAGGGCGTTATCAAAACGAATGCCTTATTGCTACCCATGAACAACTATCACAACAACATCTTGGGAATCTTGTAGCGGTCGTGTCATGCGTGTGCACCTATTTTGCCTAACCCTAAAACGGCCGGGGGGGGGGGGCATAATCCGCACCCCCCCCCCCTTCCTCAACTTTTTTCCGAGATAGAAAAAACAATTCCGCGATAGAATTTTTTTTTGCGACCCGGGCTGTTATGACTTTTTAGCCTCGAGCCTTGCGCATCTTTTGATACCAAAAGCCTCAAAATCGGACAATTGAAAACTGAATTTTCCCATATACGTCGTGTACACAGCAGAATTACCATTCGTACATATGAATAATTAATTAGCCATATTTCCAAAACCCTTTGACCTATAGTCATGACATTTCTTTGGTATGTTTTTATGAAGGGTTGCTCTATGCTTGTACCGAGCTTCAAAATTTTTCGTCATTTGATAGCGGAGATCTAAGGGGGGGGGGGGGTGGGCAGAATCACATATTTCTGACTTTGATTCTGGAGGTGTGCCAACCCAATGTAAAAGACTGTCAGTTTAGGGGTACTGTACCCATCCTGACAGATTCCAACAAAACATGCCGTTGGGGTTTGATGGGTGGAGTTCTGTTAGGTTTAAAGGCTGGAATTTAATAGTGATTCCTAATTAAGTTAAGGAGTCATCCCCTTAATTGTTTTAAATCCCGGTAAATCTGTTGCAAGTAGATATGCCACAGTCAAGTCCATCACAAGTCCGTCACAAAGTCCATCAAAATTATTGAGATGGACTTGTGAGGAATGAAACTCTAACACAGTTCCTAACCATGATTGGATCTTTTCAGGGACCGATACAGGGACCGGGACACGGATGAGGAAAGCGAGAAGGGCCACCGCAGCCGAAGACGCCGGGAGCGCGATGTAGAGCGTGGGGAGGACTACGACGGTGATCGGTCGCACAGGAGCCACAACCGCAGCAGTCGCTCGGTGTCCATCATGCCGCCGCAACCACAGACTACGGACGATGAGAGAGATGAGGTGGGTGTCCATGAGTTAGCAACTCTGCATTCAATAGGGGACATTGAACAATAGAGAACAATAATGTCCCCAATTTCCTGAAGGCCCCCAATTTGGCGATCGTGTACAAAACATATGGGAGGTCTTCCGAAAAAGTTGGTGTGCAAAGAAAAGAATGAAGATTGCAGGTGTGACAGGTAATTCTGTCCCCCCTGGTAAATGTGTCCCCCCGGACACATTTACCGGCGGACACATTTACCGGCTCGTGACCCGGTAAATGTGTCCGGGGGGACACTTTTACCTAGGTAAATTTGTCCCCCTCCAGGTAAAAATGTCCCCCTGCCCAACAGTGAAAGTGTCCCCCTGGTAAATGTGTCCCCATGCAGTATGTAATGAGAGCAGCAGCGTGTCGCACGCGCCAGTACATGCTGCAAGATTTGAGGCAGTGATTATCACATGTGTACATATGCGTCTCCCTCTACAATGGAAATTCGTCCAATAGGAAATTTCGTTACGCGCTATGATGGGAACACAGACCAATCCAAGGAGACGTTGTATCATACTATCAATGAGACGAGGGCCATCGCCATGCATCGCCGCTGTGTTGACCTATCGCGGTAGAATCACGATAGACTTCATCGTACTCCGAATCGGAACATTGTGTTCACGTATCATCTAATAGACTAAATTTTAAAAAAATTATATTCATGAAGGGCAGACTAAAAGTCCAAAATGTATACCTTGTAGAGTGAATTCATCAAAACAATAACCTTCCGGGTTTCAAAAGAGGGGGACAAAAAAACCTGGGGGACAGAATTACCTGGAGGGGACAGAATTACCTGGAGGGGGACAGAATTAACGGGCCAGGGAGGACACTTTTACCTAGGTAATTCTGTCCCCCCCGGACACTTTTACCGGGGGACAGAATTACCCTCCACACAGGCAAATACACATTGGGAAGTTTGGGTTGGGATCTGGCATCGAGTGAGGGGGTAAACCATTTTTAGTCAAGTCCATCACAATACTGTCACCAGTCTTGTCACAAGTAAATCACAAGTAACAGATGATCAACAAAGGAACAGATGATGAACAAGAACAAAGTGAGTTGACTTGGTACTGAATGGCCTGTGGGGTCTTGTTGCGGACTTGTGATGGACTTACAGGGACTTGAACATACCTTGAGTATATACCTTGAAGGCCACACCTCCATCTTCAAGACATGTAGAAGAGAAGTGTGGCAGGGTTTAGGAGGCTTCATTTGCCCATTAAAAACCGAAGTTACTTAAATTCTGCTTGAAGCAGAGAAGTGTGGGCGCTTGGATGGCACTCTCAGGCAATTTGTTCCAGCTATCCACTACCCTCTGGCTGTAGAAGTGCTTTCGGACATCAAGTCTTGGTCTGGATTTGGCCAGTTTCTGTGAATGACCTCTGGTGCTCTGGTAGTCTGCTTTCTGAAACATTGAGTCTGGATTGATCTTGTCGATTTGAGTCATGATTTTGTAGTTTTGGATGAGATCCCCCCTTTTCCTCCTTGTTTCTAGTGTGGTCAGGTGCAGCTTGTTTAATCTCTCATTGTCGTGGACTTGTGATGGACTTACGGGGACTTGTCATGCACTTGACTTCAACACTGTTCTTTGTCAGGATCAGGCTTTTTGGCCTAAATTTTGTCGGGGTGGGAAGGCAAAGATATGGATATCAGATACAGTGAAGGTGATGATGCAGACCTTTCGTTTAACCCTAACCAAACTCAACCCATCAAAGTTCAACAGCAGGTTTTGTTTAAATCTGTTGGGATAGGTACAGTACCCCTTTGAAACTGATGGTCTTTTACACTGGGGTTGGCATACCTCCAGAAACTAAGTCCAACAGCGTGTGTGTACAATTTCCCATGTGGGTGTTGGAATTGCCAGAATGGGTATGGTTCCTAGTAAATTAGGCTGGCGAGTTAGGGTTAATGTTAATCTGGATGCCAGTTTAAAATCATCATTTCTCCATAATGAATCAAACATGGGTTAAAGATATTCAGTTTATGCCACATGGTGAGGCGAGTTTGTTTTTTGTGTTAAGGGAGGGGGATTTGGGAGGAGTAAAGATGTGGGTTTATTCATAGAAATTTGGATTCCCTATTTCCAATTTCATGCTAATTTTGGTCCAAGAGTATGGGTGGAGGTCTCTATCAACAAGATGAATCAAATCCAGTCTTGGCAATATTGGCAGTGCTACCCAGGAAATTCTGAGCATACATGTACCTCCTCACGCTTGCATTAGCTTGAATACAGCACATGTGATGTACATGGGTAGCGTTGCCAATATTGCCGAGACGGGATTTGATTCCATTTGTTGATAGAGACCTCGTTCGTCATGGACCGGCTGCATAAGAGGAGTAAAATTCAAATCCAGTCTTTGACTAAAATTAAACTCTGGCCTAACCTAGTCCCCTCCTAAAAAAAACCGAAAAAAAGTCCTTTGTAGTGCAGAAGTTTCCACAGTCTTTCACAGCAGCAAAACGACTCTGAGAGACTGAAGGCTAAAGTGCCAACCTCGGTTTGAACGGTTTTGCAGCAGTGCCAAACATTCCATTGCACTAGGTGAATTCATTTGGATACATTAACGCGGAAATTAATGTTCATTTATCGATTTGATTTGGCAGGTGGTGGAAGTGGAAATCTTACCTCAGGATGACAACTGGGGAGACAACACGACGGCCATCACGGGGACCTCGGACCGTTCCTCCATGGAAGACCTGACCCAACTCGCTAAGAGCATGGACGATACCGGCTTTGATTGCAGCCGCTACTTAGGCTACGTCTTAGCGGTAGTCATCGGGCTGGTTGCTTTCCTGTCACCCATTGCGTTTGTCATCATTCCCATCATCCTACGAAAACAGGGCCAATGCGGCACGGCCTGCGATGGGCTCTTCATCAGCATGGCCTTCAAACTCTTGATTCTTTTGATCGGCAGCTGGGCGTTGTTCTTTCGGAGGCCCAAGGCAAGCTTTCCACGCATGTTCGTGTTCCGCCTCGTGGTCATGGGACTCCTTCTTGTGCTGGTCACAGCGTACTGGTTGTTCTTCGGCGTTCGAGTCATGCAGCAGGAGGTCATCGACTATAAGGGCGTCGTTCAGTACGCAGTGTCGTTAGTGGATGCCTTGCTGTTTATTCACTACGTAGCCGTCATCCTGCTGGAGTTGCGACAGCTACAGCCGATGTACGCCATCAAGGTTGTTCGGTCCCCGGATGGGGCTAGTAAGTACTACACCGTAGGAATGCTCAGCATACAACGCTGCGCGGCCTGGATTCTGGAGAACTACTACCGCGATTTTACCATCTTCAACCCCCACTTGCTGCGCGTGCCCACGTCACGGGTGGCCAACAAGCTGTCTAATTTCAAGGTGTACGATGTGGATGGTCCCAATGAGTCGGTTACAGGTCGGTCGCGGGCCATCCTGGCTGCGACGGCCCATCGGCGGGACCAGAGCCGCAACGAGCGGTTCTACGAGAAGCAGGAGTACGAGCGTCGCGTGAAAAAGCGCAGAGCTCGTCTGGAGGTTGCGGCCGAGGAAGCCTTCACCCACATCAAGCGTCTGCACGAAGATCAGAGCATGAGTGCTCATGTCATGGACCCTACGGAAGCGGCGCAGGCCATCTTCCCCTCAATGGCACGCTCGCTTCAGAAGTACCTCCGCGTGACCCGTCAGCAGCCCCGATGGACCATGGATGCGGTGATCGGTCACCTGACCATGTGCATAAGTTACAATCTCTCCCCGAAAGCATTCCTGGAAGCGTTCTTCGAGCCAGGACCGAACATTGTTCAGAGCGTCCGCGACGGAGTGGGATCCCAGCCCTGGGAGCTGGTGTCGGATACTCTAGTGTCCCGGCCGATCAAAGAGGGCGGGACCTTCCAGCTGCGACAGGGGGAGGTGATGCTCCAGGTGTACGTCATGAGGATACCACACTTGAAGGTGAAGGAGGAAGCCTATGACTATAAGAACAATAGGTTTGCTTTGAGATTGCAATCGGAAACATCAGTGTGAGTACCACCACACAATATTAGGATGATGGACTCTAAAACTGTTCCTTATTCTGAGCCATTTTCTTCATGTACAGTAACGTGGTTATAAATCCAAGAGCATGTATGGCCACCGTCGACAACGTCGCCCTCTATCAGTCATAACGTGAAACTCTGAAGTGAGGGCAATACAGCCCAAGTTTCATTTACGTGCACTATAAACACTGGTTACGCGCACTGGTTACGAGTTAAAAAATGGACCATCACTTGGCTGTAAAGATGTATAGCGCCCTCACCTATTGGGAGTCATTCTGAGTGAACTTTGGCTTCGTGATGTTGCGAGGAGGGGACTGGAAGCCAGTCTATCTCACTATCTTAAGTGTTAGGTAAAACTCTGCCTTCCCTGTTATTCGTTGATTTGCAAATTAACAGAGGGTCAGTACACATGTTAGAAGTTAGTGCATATATATACAAAAGCAGAAGTGTGTTAAGTGCAAGGCCGTCATAAAGATTTTAAGCGATTTACATGTATTGTTCATCAGAACAGAATGACTTAGTGACCTGAAAAATGTGTTCAAAACAGTAGAAGAAATGTGTATGAAAAGTACTTGTTAGTATAAATGTATGGAATTGGAAGCCAGTACTTTTGTTGATTACCAAAGCTGAGGTACTTCTCAGTTACAAAATGTACTGTTTGGGAACAAAACCAAGACTGTCTTGGCTTGGCCAATGTATTTCCTATTACTTGGCTGGCTGAGTAACCATGTGCCAACGGCTGTTCATGTGGCCTTTTCCAAAAACAAAATAAAGGAACAAAAAAAAATTAAACGTCACTACATGAATAATAAACACTAGTCCTATCAATGGCTGCTAGATTGTGAGTCCCTTTCACAATAGCATGTGAGGAAAATACAGGCAGTGATGTAGTTCAGTCACTTGGGTTAAGTCTGAGTCCGCATCTCCAGTCACATGGGTCAATTCCAATTGCGAGTCTTGCCTCATTAGGTTCCGGTCCGAGTCACGAGTCATTTCATTCAATTACAAGTCCATGTAAGTGATGCACTGTCTCGGGGAATAGGGAGGGACATTATTATTTGCACCAGCACTGTTCTTTAGCATACCTTTAACCAGTTCGCGCCGGAGGCAGTGTAAACACGCAAAAGTTTTGCGGTATTTGGAGCGGATGACAGATAAACACGCAGGGAGCGAGGCCAGAAATACCTGTCAGCGACCCGCTCGCAGCGAGCGAGGCTGGAAATATGAGTGTGCTGCCCAAGGGTGATGGCTTCAACCCACCTGGCATTGAGTTCAAGTGAAAAGTAACCCGGTGTGAACTGGTTACGGTTACTGAAGTACAAATCGGAATTACGTAAAAAAATAAAAACATGACGCGCAAGTCCCGATTGATAACATCAAGCCCAAGTCATGATAGTCCAGGCCAAGTCCTACTCTTTTGCCCAATGTGACTCTAGTTCAGTCCGACTCCCCAAAATTTTGACTCAAGACGGACTCGCATGCTTAGTCTTGGACTCCACTCCTCCAACATCGAATGCAAACATCATCAAGACACTAGCTATGATTAATGCATGGACATTCATGCATATGATGCATTGACGCAAGCTCACTTGGTGGACAACATCCGTCCAATGAGAGTTCCAAGAAATAAGATTTCACCAGCACCCTTTGATTGGGCCGTGGTTTTGAGCGAAGAGTTGCATTATAAATTGGCCTGCAATCCAAGTGTACAATGTACCTTTTCAAGGCCTATTTCTGTAAAACCTACAGTACAATGTATGTATGCGTTTTTATGTAGCCTAGAAGGTTAGACAAAAAATGTCCTTTGTGAGCATTATTAAACGTGTCGCTTCTTTTTTTTCTGCCAAATTCTGTTGTTTTGTTTAATTTTAATGCAATAGTGCAAAATGCATACTGTGCACATGTATACTTGTACTTGTTCATGATTTTAATCTTGAAGCATGAAGTTTCTTTTTAACTATCCACCGAGACTTGTCCTTTTACTTCCAAGTGGTGCAGCCTGATGAAGGACTTCCAGATTTTCATTTTATTTGTTTTTCTACTCGTTTTCTGTATTAAATTCTCAGATGGATCTACGCTTTGTAAAATAACCATACATTTCATCGGAGTATTGAGACGTGCCATGATTTATTCATTAGACCCACCTGACTTTTGTACAGCGTTTTATTGGGTGCTACGGTTATTTTGTTTTCTATTTACATCAGATTCAGTCTCTGCATGTGCTTTATTAATTTTTCATGCCTGCTTGCGCAATTACAATCAGTTATGTACATGTATGCAAATAGTTGATCGAAAATCAAAAATAGATGATGATGCACACTGAAAATAATGCAAGGTCGATACACAGCCCAAGTTTCATTTTCATTTGATCGTTATTTTGTTTTGTGATGAAAATCACACTGTATTGCCTTCCAGTTTGGTTTCTCAAAAAAGAGAAAGCAAAAGATCACCCCAAAAGTCTTTTTTTTAAGATGCATAGATGTCTCAAAGCACTTGTACACTACATGCATGTACTTAAACTTTGTGAAGTAATTTATTGTGTAAATGTTGAACTGACTGTAAATAACTTAATTTACATCATGTGGGTTTGTTGTGTACATGTGATTCGAAAGCAGACATACACATGTTTATGGCCAAATAGGTGTTACAAAAATGCACTTTATATTCTTTAAAGAAGCCACTTGGTATTGTAATTGTTCCATTTACAACATTTGGGGGAAAACGTTACTTCTTGGCAATTGATAGGAAAAAAACAAATTCAGCACTACCAGTCCCAGGCAGTGTGTTGTCAATCAGACTTCTCTAGGTTACCAGTGAAACCATACCAAAAAAATCAGCAGATACATTTGCATATCAATGCACCGTTTTACCAACTGTTATTGTAGGATCACCACCGCTAATTTCAAGTTGTTAAAAGTTGGTGTAACGTTTTGCATCCCACCAATTTGTTTCACTTATATCAAGTGCCAACTGCGCATTGCACGTGAGTAGCGTGTACGTTTACCAGCACTGAGATTAACGCACATTGGAACAGTATTCATATCTTTTTTGTAATTGGTTGATCGTGCTTAATCTTGAAAAATAATGTGACTTGAAATTATGATTTCATTAAGATATCAGAAAGCTGAGAAGTATTCCGTCAATTGTACTTGTAAATAAGACGTTTCACAGATAGGGGTTATTCTATAAATTTGGGGCCCACTTTTTTGCCCTGTCCCTGTTACATTCTAAAAGTCCTAAATCTTTCAATTTTCATATGACTTTCCACACACCCTATGGAGTAGGGTTTAATGCAGTCACCCTTCAAGAGTTGCTAGCAAACTACCTACCCAACAACGAACAAATAGTTTGAAATAAGTAATAATGACACTTGAATGACAGGAATAAAAGTCCCACTTTAGACACTAAATTTATAGAATGGCCAATATCAAGCTGGGAATATATATTGTGTGTAACAGGTATTGTCAGACCAGGAAAAAAGAAATGTTATTTCCCACCTCCTGAAAAACAGTTTGTAGATTTGTTACTTGTAATCCTGCTCTGCTTAAAGTACTTTTATGCCAAATTCTTAATAAGATTTTTTTGCTGTGAATACCAAGAAAGCTGTATGTAATTATGATAGTGGAAGCAACGTGTTTGTTTCTGTAGTGCTCCATATTTAGCTCTCGGTAGGTCGTGTAAAGAAGTCTGACTCCTGTATTTAAAAACGAAAAGCTGTGTACAGTAAAATGAGCGATGTTGGACTGTTTATTGGTTTTATTTTTAGCAGTGTTGGAACTTGTAGTCGAGACCGTCACAAGTCCATCACAAGTCCTCTAGTCCCAATTCACCTCACAAGCTATTCAAAGAGCTTAGACAAAGGTATTCTGTAGTTATTGTTCATCCACCTGTTGCTTGTGACTGGACATATGAATGGACTTTTTGATTCACTTGTGATGGGCCCCACTTAACTTCAACGCTGCATTTTAGCTATTGTAAGCACAAACTAAAGAGTATAAATTGGGTTGAGGGAGAGGGTTGCAACTCTTGCAGTGTTTGGAGAACCATGTGAACGTTTTGACTTTCTGGAAAATTGAAACAAAATTGCTGTTCGAGCCTTTACATGTCGTGTACATGTTCGGGGAATCACACATCAAATAAGCTAGAGCCGAAGAAATTAAACCGAACAGTGATCAGGTTGCTCCAAGAGGGGGTTGAACCTTCGACCTCTGGATTACGTGTCTGGTCCACTCAGTTGAACTAGCCGTCCACGATGCTGATATTGGTTCCGACAGCCAGAACCAGTGTTTTATATAAAGTCGATCTATTTATTGTGGATCACAAGTACCCATAAGTCCATCACAAGTCATCACAAATCTATATCACATGTTATAGAGTACTTTTGGCTTAGTTTATTGCAAGTCAGTTGTGCATGCCAGTGCTCTCCAGCAGAAGTGCATTGGAGGATTCTTTGACTCACCAGCCAAGTGATTTTACCACAGACATCGACTTGTTTACTTTGGTCTCATTATTTATTGCTGACCAAAGAGTTTCCTCACAGCATGGCCAAGCTTTCTGTCAATACCCTTTGGCAGTTCTTGCAGTGCACTTTGGTTCACCCCAAAAGTACAGTGGCAGATATTGGAGGGATGTGCAAAAAAAATTGGGCAAGTCACTTTTTTCAAATGTTGAAGTGATTTGGAGGGTCAGGTATAGAGCAAGGGTTGATCACAAGTCCTCCAGGCCCAAGTCAACTCACAAGCTATTCAAATGAACTGTGACAAAGACATTCCTGATCCTTCGTAGCTTATTGTTCATCCCTCGTAAATGGACCGATCCAGTAAGCACCGCCCCATGGTGTTCTGACCAATCACAGCCGTCATCTATGTCCGACGTGCGTGCACTAAAGTCCGACATGCGTGCACGCGCGTATGATGCGCGCGGAAGGAAAATGCAGCGTGGCATTGGAGAGGAGCGCGTGTTAATTTGCCCACGTGCGCACTGGGCAGAGCTTACTGGATAGGTCCGTTGTAACTGGACTTGTGAACTGACTGTTTGATTTCTATGTGACCAGACTTGTGATGCATTATTCATTTACGAAAACCTTGACTAGGCCTACAGGAGTGTCTAGGACAACAATTGACTGAAAAGTTTAGTTGGTAGAGCACTTCTGTTGTATTCAGGAGTTTATAAGGGTTCACACCCCGATCTGGTCTCTCTGTTTACTCAATGAATTAAATCATAGAGAACTTTAGAACAGATATTTGTATTTTCAGAAATGGTTCAGAAAGGTATAGTTGTCAAGGGTATTAAATGTTGCTTTTAATCGCATCGCCTGTACATTCCGTCAACATATTTACATTTTGTCTCTTGTATCTTTCTTTTTTTCTGTTTGAGTGGCAAGATGAGGACAAGAACTTAAGTAAAATTGCTCACGATATGTTCAAAGACACATGACTCACCCGTTGAATATTTTCTATTAAATACATGTATATTACCCGATCTTAAAATACGAAAATTACGTGTACTTTGGAAAACTTTTGCCAAAATGTGCGTGCTTTTGGACACTTCTTTTCAAGCATTTGATGTGTTAATTATGGGTCTTTAGTACCCCTCCCGCCCCCATCCGACTCCACTCACTGCTTGGACCAAAAACGTTGAAACGATTTCAGGACTAAGTTGACCCCGGCCCACTGCCTGAAATATGAACTACAATTGCAGATTTATTTACAATTGTTTTACCGAAAATATGGTTTATTTTGCAAAATGAGTTAGGCCCACCACAACGCTTCGATCGCAAATGAGGTGTAGCATTCGTCTGGGCTTAAATCTTCCTCTAGAAGTGATCTCATATCGTAATTCCTGACTTACTAATGACGCCTGTTTTGAAACAACATTCTGGAGCTGTTCATTATTACAAGATGCCGAGAAAATGTTGTGAGTCGTTTTGTTTAAACGGACCACACCCTGTTGACGAAATCGGCTAGGAAAGATAGTGTTCGTGAAATAATTATGGTTCAAGACTGAATTTGGTTTTTAGTCCCCATATACAGCCGCTCCGTGACGAAGGAGGTCGCTCATCAACAAGATGAATCGAATCCAGTCTTGGCAATATTGGCAGCGCTACCCGGGGAAATTCCGAGCATACCTCACTCGTGCTGTATTCAAGCTGGTGATAGGCGTTCGAACCACGACACCAACCCTCTCCCCGAGCCTACCCCAGGAAATCCACCCCCCCCCCCCGCAAAAAGGGGGTGGGCAAAATAAATGAAAGAAAGAAGGGTCCTAAAGCTAAAATACATGTATCAGTAAATTCAACAGTACATGCATGTAGTACATGTACTAACACATGCGCCAGCTTGACGATCAAGTAACAACATGGGTATAACAAACACCGCCCTCAGCGTCGAATGATGTCCACCTCCATGCTGCCCAACTTTGTTTTTGTGAGTAGCCTATTATAATATTAAAGGGGCACACCAACGATTAAAGTTTGACACGTAGGCTGATACATGTACATTGTTTTATACAAGTTTGAAATTGAACTCAGCATGTGCCAAGTCACTTTTGGTCGCAATTATGATCATCGAAGTTGAAAATATAATCAAAAATAAGGACAAAATTACACTTGGTATGCTGTGCTCAGACTTGGAGCAAACTAATGAAGTAAAAAAAGGAACTATAGAGGTTAATTGCGTTTGTCTTGGTAACAAAGGCACGGTGATGAGGCGCGGAACTTTTTATGTTTGTGCGTGCATTGTCTAACTCAGATGTAAATATGTTTAGGCCTATGCAAAAAAAACACAGGAAAATAATGAAACACAGACTGCTTTTTTAGATGTCAAAGCACATTTTGGTTATACATACACGTTACTTTCGATTTGATGACATCATCATTGAAATGCTTAAATGAATACTGATTTAGTTTAGATAGGGTATGGTACAGAAAGTGAAAAGAACTTCTGGATATCTGAAAATAACACGAACGTATGTGTGTACGTGTTAACGACATCTGACTTCCGGTTTGATGACGTCACAGTAATATAGTGCCTATCGTCATTAATAAAGCTGACATAATTATTGTGGCAACAATGATTCCCAATATAGGCACCAAGAATGATGGATTTTTTTATAGCTTGTTAAGATCGATACAAGGCGTCTTAATTTGTTGATTAATACAAAAATGCGAAACATTAGTCAAACACAAAGTCTTCCTGTACAACAACTTCCGGTCTGATGACGTCTTCATCGTAGTTAAAGGGAATGTACAACATTGGCTTTTGCTGCACTTTTCGGAAATAAGTGCATTTGGAGGATTTATATGTTTTAGCAAATATTGTTAAATAGAGTCACGTTTTTGGCTTGTAGATGCTGGAAAAACAAAGAAAACCAATTATATTCTTGTAGTCTGGTTCCCTGACCCCACTTGCCAGAGTATCAGTTTAGCTGGCTTGTACCCGTTCACAGGTGTGTAATCAATTGCAAGCAAAGAAAATGTGGAATAACTAAATATAAGTAATATGGAGTAGTTTTTGAAAAATAGCCAGTTTTCTCCAGCGCAGGTCGGCCGACCAGCGTTGGAAAAATACAATTTTTCTTGAAAATGTCAGCACACCAGGAGCCACGAGTTTACAGGATGCTGTAGACTGTCATTCCCTAACAATCCAGTAAGGCATTTCGTGATAATTTGATCATTTCGCTTTATTTGATGTTTGCAAATGTTGTATCTTCCCTTTAAGAAAGGTATTGATTACAAAACAACAGAGAAAGAAACAAACCTGGTACCTCACTGCATAACCCTGTTTTAATCGTCGGGAGAACATGGCAAGCTTTCTTCATTTTAGACATTCTCGGAAAGAAGTCACTTCCCCTTTGAGGATCAAGTCAAACAAAGGACACAGTGTTGTTAAACTGAACTTTCCCGTACACTGCAAAAACAGTAGTGTTAATTTAACACCATTCGGTATCTATATAGGACAACACCAGTAAAATTTAACACCAGATGGTCCTATAATTATAGATACCAATGGTGTAAATTTAACACTGCAGTTTTTGCAGTGTAGTAAGTTCTTTTCTAAGAAAAGTAAAACTAAAACTTAGAAAGTCAAACTAAAAGAAAACTTAAACAGCTAAACTTTCAAAATCTCATTTATTGCAGAATATCGTCTGCGTAATTACTTTGTGTTGTATGTGCATGGCGTCCCATACACGTCTTCTCTTCCAAGTTCGGAAATAATAATTAAAAAGGTAAATGGTCTTCCAGCAAAAAAAAATAACATAGGGATGTGAATTGTTTTCGTTTTGATGAAAGAACACTTCCCCTTTTTTGTGAGCCGTAGACACAACTTTAAAACGGTGGTTGTGTTTAACATTTCGTAACTTGAAAATTGCATGACGGTGATTTGAAAGATTCTTGTACTAAAAGAGAGCTTATTAATTGGGCTTTCTACATTTTGAAAGTGCTACATGCAGAACATCATTTAGAAAATGGTTCTGACATTTGGGTTTCCTTCTTTTTTTCAACTCACCATGTATATTTTTATTTTCGAAAAGCATATTTAGCAAAGGGTACTTGAATGTTGTTTATGATTGCATCGCCTGTACATTCCGTCACATAATCATCTTCAGTGTTTCTTTTCTAGATTCCGTTCGAATAGGCCTATGTAATATGAGGACATTGACTTTAGTGAAACTGTTTGTGGAAACAAAAAAATCAAAGACATAGTGAATGATACAGGGATATGCATACGATTATTGAATAATTGGATATGAAAATTGATTTTCAAAGTCTTTTACTTTGGGAAATTTTGAGAAAAATGCTACTACTTTTAAATGTTCTTTCCGATTAACATCATTTCGTCCATTAGGCCAAAAAAAATAAGTCTCCGGTTTCTGGTATGCGCGCGCGTCGCCGGAGCCATGCGCGTCGGCCAAATAAAAAAGGGTTTTTTTTTCAATAAAAGATGATGTCTCAAAACTGCCAAACTCACTGGTTTTACTGGAATCCTGCTGCTGCACAATTTTAACGTGTTTTTAGATGGGGATATGATCGAGAATAAGCTTTATGTGCCCTCTCTGGACTCCCATATATTTTCACTAAGTTTAGTCGGGCACCAATTGCAGTCCTCAGCCGACATTTGAAGCAAAAAAAACAGGTTAAAAAAAAAAAGCCGCGTCGCCGCACCACTTTTTGGGCAAGCTCCATACCAGAAACCGGAGACTTTTTTTTGGCCTTAATTAATAGCGCGTTTTGTAGCCCAATTGGGCGCATTCCAGGACGCAGTTCCCTTTAATCTTGGGTCGATTTTCAGTTTTTCTTCACTATAGGTAAAGTTAAAATAAATCTAAAGCAAAAGTAAAACAGAAAACTGTCAAAACGGAAACGGTTATACACGCATAGTATTGCAAGACTATCATCTGCGTAGGCCTATTTTTGTTTTGTATGTACATGACCTCCCATGCACGTCTTCTCTTCGACTCATACGCGGACAGGTTTGTCTTTCCACTCGGACTATATACATGTAGCTTATGTGCTTAATTCACATCTCAGACAAAGTGTTCATTTTCGAGGGAATAATTCGTCCGAAGAGTGTGTAGAAATGGGTGTCTTGGGTGAGTATTAAACATTTTAGTTTATTTTGTTTTGATATTGGGGATGTGTTTCTGGGAGCTGAACTGACATAAAAAGAATGGTTTCATAAAATGCAGCAGGCCCTTGCGTGGACATTTTGGACAAAAACGAATAACAATAATTATCGAGTTCAATCAGAAATCAAGGTTGTTTAATCCTGTGTAGTTTTCCGTATTCATTTTTAGGAACTCGGCTGATTGCACTGGTCACGTGCGTTGCGTTGGTCTGCAATCATGGTAAGTACATCAGGGGTAAGCACGTTTCGTTGAATATGTAATTATAATGTTGTCGTTCATTGAAGAATACTATTAAAGAATTCGCATGATGACATCTTCTCAGTGTTGTGCAACTTGTGAAATCAATTGTTTATGGTTTTATTGATATTTATCAATACATAGGGTGTCATGCAAAGTCCTGGCGACGCCCATGCTTGGGGGGCGTGGCTCGGGCGTAACTCTATCAGTGACCGAATTTAATAGAAACCCACACATTCAATTAGTGAGGATAAAAATGTTGTAATTTAACTTTACACGCATTGGCTTTGGGAAGGGGATAATACGTTGAATAAAACTTTAGCTGACTTTAACTTAGACTAAAGGAATGCGCTCTATAGAATAGCCTTCTAGCACTTATTTGAGTGACGCGCTTGGCACGTATACGTACGCAGTGGCGTAGCCAGGAATTTTTCAATGGTGGGGGGGGGGGGGGCGCTGGAACATTTCATGGGG